ATGATTGTTCTCTTTTTATGGTCAGCATTGAAAGCATTGATACTGAAACAATTGAACTCATATATAGGGTGGCCTTAAAAGAATCACCTTTCAAGATGACCATATGTCAAGAAATGTATGCAAGTTGATAAAATCAGTATTTTTCAGATTTATAGTGGAATTAAAATTATTAAATATTCCAAGATTAAACTGCAAATTAATCTAAATATATTACTTAATTATTCTGCTAATCTAATTTATGATTATCCTTGGTTTATAATTCCTAAGCAGATTGGTAAAATGTATTTAAAAAGCTACCAGTATGTATGTATGTATGTGTGTGTGTGTGTGTGTGTGTGTGTGTGTGTGTGTGTGTGTGTGTGTGTGTGTGTGTGTGTGTGTGTGTGTGTGTGTGTGTGTGTGTGTGTGTGTGTGTGTGTGTGTGTGTGTGTGTGTGTGTGTGTGTATATATATATATATATATATATATATATGATGCACATTTTTATGAACTAAGTTTGACATAATGATAGTGAACATTATATCTCTAATCAAGGAGATACTGACCCCAAAATGGCATTTATCCATCAAGAATCATGTTAAAAATATCTTACCACATGGTCCAATATATTATGTGAGTTGAGCTAGAATCTTGAATTACCCATCACCTGACACAAAAATTGACTCTAGCAATCTACCGTCTTTAGACAAAATGTCCACATTAACTGTGATGTCTAAAAAAACTGTTTCATACTTTGCTCCATTCTTTGTATTTTCTTTGCATTTAAATTCTAAAAACAATGATAAAAATGACAGGTGAACTCACGGATCATTAGACTTTGGAATAAGTGTGCCAAGCTCCTTGATACGGTAATTAATGTTATACCTCCTTCTTCTTTCAACTACAAAAACAAGATATTTTAGTAATAGCAGAATACAACAGAAAAGATATAATTTATTAACAGACAGCAACACAGTTGTTCTGTTACAAAACACTGTACTCTCTTTCAAAAAGGCACAGTATTTCTACTTTGTAAACCTGAAAATATTTAATCTGTGAAAATCATTAAATGGCTAGTTTAATTATCCTGGAGACAACAGGTCCAATCACTAACTTCTTTTTTAAGGAAGAAAAATAATAAACACCAAAAGATTTATCTTTAATGAAGGAACACCTAACTCTTCATCTAAAACTGTGCAACTAATAAAGCTTTTATAGGAATTTAATGTATAAAATAAGATAAATGGAACAATTTGCACCTCTAATGTTAAGGCTGTGTGAGGTCAAATAATAATTGTGATTCTCATCTGATCTGACAATGAACTAAAATTGTGAATCAGTGCTCATGGAATATGTGGTTTTATCATATCGGACAACTTATTTTGAAAGGCTGCAAAGAGGTGCTAATACCATCATGTGTTTGCTGTCATTTGAATAGAAACATTTACTTTACAATCTCATCCATGTTTACTTAAAAGGAAGGTCTAGCCTTGATCTTAAGAATGTATGCTTAATTCTTTCACAAATTATAAATCTTGATTACCATGAATGCTTGAAAAGTTGGTGAAAAAACTGCCCAATAGTATATAACAAATATACTTTAATTTTTAAAATTACTTAATTTTTTTTTCAAAAAAAGTACAAGTCACTTTTTGATTGTAAAATATCTACATTTAATATCTGCTTGTTGCATGCAGCCATCCACTTGCTTCATATTATTATGGAGTGTTATGGCATACTTAGTGGCCATTGTCACCAAGATGACTATTCAAAAGTAAGAATACCAAGTTAACTAGGATGTTATTTAAATTATTTGACACATAGACATAATTTATT